CCTGACAATTGCTAAAATGGAAATTACTATGGAGAGGATACCATAGGATTTGGTGGTAATGTTTTAGTTTATACCTATTCTGAAATAAGGTTGAGAGATATAGGTAAAGGAACCTCAGAGATTGGAGCACATATGTTAGCTCCAGGCCGATGTGTGGGTTTTTGGCTCGTGTTAGTATTAAAGAGCAAATTTCCAGCCTAAGTATACATGCTTCCCCCCGCCACCCCAACACACACACATACACACACACACACACACACACACACACACTTTAATAGCTCTGTTTCAGTTGAGAGACCATCTCAAAGAGGGAGGGAACTTTCTGAATAGAATCTGACTGTGTATCCTGTGTCACATGCTCAGAGGCAAGCAATAGAGGGAGTTGATTCCTTGATGGTTTATTCATTAATTCATTTATTCAAATTTTTTTTTAAACTGGTTACTAGGTTATGTCTCAACCAAGAACACATAAAAGCTACGTGCTAACACGTATAAAGAAAGTGTAACTTTCCTAGGATTTCAAGTATATCCTAGGTGCCAAGAGGGTCATCTCAATATCAGGTGTGTGTCATTTAGCGAGAATTATGACCTACTGAAATCAAATTGTCTGAGAGGAAGTTGCTTGGTCAAGATATTCTAAGTTTAGAAGGAAAGAGTTGAGTGTTTTAGGATCAATGTGTGAAAGTATGAAACCTTTATTCACAGTGAAGAGTTGCTCAGAAGGCAGATTAATCAGCATTCAATCAGATTATCAATACAGGGGAAAAGTCTGGATTCAAGGGAGAAAATAAGGAGGTTAGTGGGTAAAGATCGGCAGACACTGACAACCAGGGCAGTGATGAAGTCTCAATGAGGAATGTCCAGGTAGTTCTTTTCCTGCGGTTACTTCAAGAGAACAGTGTGACCCTTCTTCCTTCTGCTAATGTCCTTCCTTACCCATTGCAGATAGTTCCAAGACTCTCCTCCACTCTCCTTCCTAACCTTAAGTTACATTTCTCAGTTCTTCAAAATCGGAAAAGGCGTGAACTTGTTCTCATTGTCTAGTAAGAAGAAATGATATGGGATGAACTAACAATGCATAATGGAGTTAAATTTAATAAGAGTCACTTTTTGGGGATCTTAATAAAAAAACTATATGTTGCACACACACCTGATAAATGTTTTGCATGTGTATATATTAATATTATATGTGTTAAATATATATAACATGTAAATAGATAATCCTTTGCTCTTACCAATTTTCTGTTTTGTCAAAGTGTTTCCATATCTTTTACCTAAAAAGTCATATAATTCTCATTCACATCAATACCTTCTCAAGTGGTGTTTTCCTACCATTCACTCAGTCGTTCTACCACAATTAATTGTGTATACAGCATGATCCTAGGGGCTGAGAATAAAAGAACTAAGATACAGCCCCTGTCTTCAAGGAACTCATGATTCATTGGTGGAGACAATCATGAAAAGAAATGTAGGAAATTAATGAAGTTTTTGAAAATAATGAAATTAAGGGGAAAAAATGTAAATGCCAAAGTACAAGGTATGTCACAAAGACAGTTTGGCCTGGTGGTATGGTGGGCTGGTTCTGTTTTGCTATTTTAAGGATGCCTTGCTCTCCTCAGCTTACTTGTCACCCCGCCAGTGTGCACTGATCGCGCTTATCTTTATGTGAAATTGGAACTTTGAATTTTCTTCTTCTATTCTCATTCCCTTTTCTCTCCCCTCACACATTCTCATTTAATCCTCGCAACTTCATGCCTAGAGAGTAGATGGTCGTATTATCTCACAGATAATAAGACACCGGACACCAAGACACAGAGACATTGAGTGACTTGACCGAGGTGGTTTGGAGAAAGAGGTGGGACTCAATGTGAGTGCTTGCACTTCATCAGTGAACTCTCTCCATAAGCATCTTACCCAGTGCCCGGCACAAGAGAAGTACTCCCACATGTTGTCTGCTGTTGCTTTGTCACTGTTATCTGCACAATTTAAAGTCTTCACATATTGGTATTTTTTTCATTAACAGTGTATTGCTAAAACATCATAGTGACAGAACAAGAACACCTTGCTCTCTGCTCAAAAACGCTTACAGGAATTAATCTCTAATTACTGCAGTTGCTTTTATCATTTGTTTTCTTTCCCTCACTTCTTATTTAGGAACCTTTCAGGTCAAATTCTTATTCAGTTATTGATGATGTAGCCATGCTTCCCTCCTTTGCTTTTTTCAAGACTGCCTTTTGAATTGAAGTCTTACCTCTACTTTCCAAACTGTCCAGAACCTTCCCCAGTCATTTCATTTTCATATTCTTCTTTCTATTTCATTCATTCAGCAAATTTTTACTGAGCACATATTATGTGTCGGGCTCAGTACTAGGAAGTGGTGGTGGTTACAGTGTCAAGGCTAGCACTGTCCCTGCATAAACCAGGTAAGAGACACTAGCAAAAGCTCTTGTGTACTTCTCTCTCTCCATAGTTAAAGCCAAGTATTACTTCCTATAGGCCTAGCACAAATTTCTAGGTTAGGCCGTTATGAACCTGAAGGAGTTTTCTAATACCATCCAGCAAGGCCAGGTGTTAGTTCTGATTCCTATAAAGGACATTCCATAGTATTGCTCAGTGAACCTTTTTTTCTCTACATATTTTTTTCATTTAGGAGGTTTTTGGTAAAGCTAATCTAAATCCCTTCTCTTTTAGTTTTAATTAATTATTCTGCTTGTCTTGCTCTGGATTATTTTTATTTATGACCGTCATACAAGACACCTAGCAAGGATCCTGATGGACAGATGGATTAATCTTTCAAAGAATTTTCGTTCTTCCTGGTGACTTGTGTCAAAGCCTAGACATTCTGTATGATACTAGGCAAGTTCACCTTCCTGTATCTCTGTTCCCCATCTGTAAAATGTGGTAGTAATAGTTCCTACATCATATTAATATAATCCTGGGAGGACTAAATTAGTTAATACAGGTCAAGCACTGAGAGTTTTCCTGGCCCAT